AGTGGCATTTTGTCGTCATTTTGGATTAAATGTGGGGTTAATTTATGCCATTTTTATGAAATTTCTCTTATCGATAAAGCACTTGCCGCATGCGGCCATCACAACCAAACAAGTTCATTTCATACTACAGTTCAATCTATTGTTCAATTTACTCCCAGGCATTCTCTATCCATCCGTTTCTTCTAATCCGAGATCCCTGACTTCGTCCACCAATAATTACATTCTTTCCGACTCCATTCGTCGTCCACCATCTGCGCCGCAATTCCCACGCCACTTCCGCCGGCGCGCTCATCATTTCCCTCGCCCAACACCATGATCCTACCAGAGGCAGAGGCATCATACGTCTCCCAGATAGGGCGGGCTGCATATGCACCAGCGATAGCATTCGGGTCCCCAGATACAATGAACGAGGTAAGGTATGCATGCAACGTACCCGCCATCTTCTCCTGATGCTCGGAGATGGCCCGCACCTCGGGGTTAAAAGTCTCGTATGCCATTTGATCGCCATGGTTTGCGCCACCTTGCACCGTCTTATTAAGTGCCCAACGATAAAGGAAGACCGGAGGCTCCTGACCCGCCGAGGCAAACTTCGCTGTCTGGCGCACCGGACAGGCGTACGCGTAGTGCCCGTACGCGGCCTCGACACGTTTGTATTGAGGTCCGACCGGTAGAACTCTAGTGTCGACATAGGGCGACGAGGGATCCTTCGCTGGGTCGGGGTAGAGCTTATCGATTGCTTTGATGTCGGATGCCGAGTACGCGGGGAGGAGGGTTTGGAAAAACGCGGTGAACTCGTCCGACTTGGACATGGATGGGGGTACGTAGTATGTTCCTTCGTTGGTGTTGAAGCCCGTCAGGATTGGCATCTTGTTCCATTTACCGGATTTCCAGGCGTCGATGGGTCGTTGTTTGATGAGGTCTCCGTCGATGACCGGTTGGAAGGCCCATCGTACGGAGGGGTTGTATCGGTCGAACACGGTGAAGGAGGCGTTGGTGATGGCAGACTCGGGTTGACTGCGTAGACAGTCCATCACCTCTTGGCGGGATACATCCTTGCAACCGGCCTCTTCAACAAACTGACGGAATTGATCCTCGTGGAGGCGAGCGTCGTAAGAATGAACCGCCCGTGAGGTTGCGGCGCCGGACTCGATTATGGCACGGTGGAAGAGGGTATGACCGAGGTCATGGTTCATGATATGGTGCGCAATCTGACACTTAGCAGTCGGTTTGGAGGAAGGGGAAGGGGAGGGGGCATACTGAATGGGCACCGGCAGAGAGTCCAAACAATGTCACTTGGGAGGGGTCCCCTCCGAAAGCTTCGATATTATCCTGGACCCATTTGAATAAGAGGGTCTGATCATGCAGACCCAGGTTCAAGATACCCTCTTCGGCTGTTGTGGTGGAAGGGAGAAAGCCGAGGGCGCCAATCCTATCCTCGTTAGTCATGGCTATCTTGATAGTGATGCGGAGGAGCTCACCGGTAATTAAAACTAACTCCGATAAAGGGTTGCTCGGACCAGCCAACCATTGAGGCCGTGTTATGCATGGACGCTATCCTGGTCAGTTTCTCCGATTGACTAGATCGTTAGATGCTTACAGCTTCCCCGGTTGTACGCGCCGCCATGTACGTACACAGCGACGGGCAATTTGCCTCGGATACCATGCGGTCGGAAAACGTTGACAGTCAGGCAATCCTCACTGTGTCCGTTGTCGCCTTTGATCGGTAGCAGTTGCTTCCCAGGACATCTGTTCCGTTAATTGGATGCCTCAGATTTATGAAAGAGTCAGCCTCGTACCTTGGTCCAAATCGTGTTGCTTCTATAACATTCTCTGACGGGCCAATTGGTTCAGCGCGAAGAAATCGTTTGTCCCCAATTGGTGGTAGTGCATATCGGATGCCCCGGAACGTGTCGACGGGGTGCTTGAGAGTGTCTCGCACCGTGATCCCTACGACAGTTCCCTGGGGAAGTGTGATGCGAGGTCGATGATCGAGAATGACATTCTGTAATGAGACGGGAAGCCATGAGACGTATGGTTGAATTTGTGGCGAATTGATCAATAGAAATGCTTTCTGCTGGAGAAGGAGCAAAGCAAGGATAGGCAGCACGGCCCAGCGAAACAGTCCGTGTAAACTCGACATGATGGGTGAACAGAGAGACAACAGGACTTTTGCTATCCAATACACATTCTTTATCACTGGCGCGGCGACCACTTTTGAATACCGAATCAGCGGTTCCCCACATTTTCTCCGCTTTATCGATTGCGAGATTCTCATCCTTTTATCTCGGACGCCCCCCGAATGCCAAGCATACTAGTCCTTGCTTGTTCCCATTCGATTGGCCCGAGATATCACCTTTGATGCTCTCTAGCTTTATGACAGCCGGTCAGTTCCCCGCGAAGGATGTCTTATCGCTGGTCCGGTGATCTATCTGCTCGTTGTGATATCCTCGCATCTCTCGGTTTGACTTCGACCACGCCTGGAGCGGGACGGGATTTCCTCTTTCGATATCATTGTAGAGGAGATTACACTCGAGTGGTGGCGTAGTTATCATGCTAGTCTATAAAACCTCTGCCGGACGACAGGTCCTGACCTTGCGTATTCAGAGATCGATTGAATCAGGTCTTCCAACATGATATCCATACCCAAAAGCGACGACACAAAAGAGAAGGCTATCATAGAAGCCATAGCTAAAGATGACATTGAAATTGGTCAAATATCCTCCCTAGACGAGGCCGAGCTATTCCTGCAAGAGCATGGTGTTACCCACACCCAGTTACAAGAGATGCTGGACGATTCGAAGAAAACCGACAGGTTGCGAAGAAAGGTCGACTTGATGGTCCTTCCCCTTCTTTGTGGCACGTATGTGTTGCAGTACATCGACAAGCAGGTATGCTTTCTTATACTTGATAGATACTTCCATGATAACAGGTTAGCTAGGCTCTTGCGTATAGTGCTGTGTTCGATCTGTTCACGGATGCCCATATCAACAGCAATCAGTATAGCTGGCTAGTCAGTATCTTCTACTTTGGTATATTTCCCGAGAATAAACGTTAGTCATTGTCAATACATACTAACTTAAAGATGCCAGGATACCTCTTCTGGGAATATCCGGCCAGTCATCTTGCCCAACGGCTTCCGACCGGCACTGTGATATCATCATTCGTGTATGTCAACCCCCTCACTTGTCCTATGCCATGCTAACTGTGTAGGCTTTCCTGGGGGTCGATGTTGATGATCACTGCCGCCTGTAACAATTTCACCGGGTTGGGAATTACCCGCTTCCTGTTGGGCTGTTTCGAGGGTATGTTAACTCCATAACCAACTTCGACCTGATCCCTGTCTGACCTCACAGCCCCGATCACGCCATGCTTTATGATGATTGTTGGAATGTGGTATACACGTCAGGAACAGCCCTTCCGTGCGGGATGCTTCTACTGCTGCAACGGCGTTGGTTCCATGGTAAGAGCATCCACGCCCGACGGGTCACAGATAGCTGACCAAAATAGCTCGGCGGTCTTATCACATTCGCTATCGGCCAAATCAAGACTTTCCCAGTCTGGCGAGCAGTCTTCCTGATCTGCGGTGGCGTAACAGTCATTTGGGGAGGAATATTGATGCTCTTCCTGCCCAACAGCGTCTTAACAGCAAAACGATTCTCCGTCGAAGAAAAGATCCTACTCGTGGGCAGAGGAAAGCAGAACCAGACAGTAAGCATCACGTACAGAAACCCCAATAGCCAAAAGCTAAAAGTACCAGGGAATCCTCAACCGCTCAGTAAAGTGGTACCAAATCCGTGAAGCCTTCATCGACCCACAAGTCTGGCTTTTATTCCTCTTCACCCTGCTGAACGAAACTATCAACGGCGGCACCGCAAATGTACAAACACCCCCGCCTTCATCAAATAAATACACCAAACCCATACTAACACTCATACAACAGTTCGGAAAATTGATCATAAAAGGCCTCGTTTCCAGCCCCCTCCTAACAACAGCCCTCGGCATCCCCCAAGGCGCCTTCCAGGTCGTCTTCATCCTGTCCGGCTCCTACCTCTCCACCCGCTTCAAGAACATCCGCACAATAATCATGACCCTCTACCTAATCCCCACAATCATCGGAATCAGTCTCCTCTGGAAACTCCCCCGGACAAACCGCTACGGCGTCTTATTCGGCTACTATATTGTCCGTTCTCCTGAAATCCCCCCTCTCCAAACAATACCCGATAAAGAATAGGTACTTACAAGTAGAATAGCTAGGTTCCTACGTCTCCTCCCTAGTTCTCTCCCTCCAAATGCCCTCCAGCAACATGGGTGGCTACACCAAACGTGTGACAGCCACCGCCTTCGTCTTCTTAGCCTACTGTATCGGCAATATCATCGGTCCACATGCTTTCCTTGCTAAGGAGGCGCCCATCTATCAGACAGGGTGCAAACTGGTTCTGGCCTGTGCGCTGTGTCAGATGGTTTGTGCGGCTTGTTTGAGGATTCTTTTGGTTCGGAGGAATAAGAGGAGGGAGGAGCGTATGCGATCTGATCCTGGTGTGGATGTGCAGAGTGGTGACGGAGATGTTATGGCTGATTTGACGGACTTTGAGGTATGTTCTCTTTTTTTGGTTTTCGCGGTCGTAATATCCCCTCCTTCCTTTATGTAATTATATTTATCGTTACTTTTATTGTTTCTTTTTCTCCGTTGGGTGGGTTGCTGACTGGTTGGTTGGTAGAATCCGAGATTTCGGTATGTTTTGTGAGTGTTATGTTCATGATACGATAAGTGTAATAAGAAATAAACATCTATTGACCGTCTAAAACGTCATATATGTACACGAGCAACAGATAACAATAAGAAGATAGAGGGATGAACGAACCGAGTGACCCAGAAGTAAAAAAAAAAAAAAAAAAAAAAAAAAAAAAAAAAAAAAAAAA